CACACATTCACATCTGAGGCTCGCTAGGGCTAGGGCATTTTATGGGTTTTGTGGACCGGTGGAACATCTGTGACAGAGCTTGTAGTTGTTCCGCTTTAAGTTGAACTGCATTGGGCTTTGATGGCGATTCATAAGGACATCAGCTTTTAAGACTTCTGCATCACGAAGTGCGAGTACACTGGAGAGAAGGAAGGTGTGGCAGCGGCAGTTCATACATGTCGCGGCACGCGAGAATCCACGACCGTAACTTAATGCGAGCGGCAGAGGTTGTGCGTCAGCATGTAGCCACAACCTGATGCGAAGACTGGGTACGTGTCCTGCCCGGTCCAGGCGGGAAATACCTGTCCAGTCAGAGATCCATCGCCTTAAGGACTTGAGAGCGATGCAACTGCGCCTGATCGACGTTCTTGCCACCCGAGTCTGGGGGCTGCGGCTTGAGTTGTCGCTTGATGTCACCAGCATGAACAGATGGCCTCCGTGTCTCAAGCTATGCAAAAAAGCGCATACAATTCTGGAGATTCTGAACACGCAGTGCTTCAAACACAATGCTGTCCTGTTGAAGAGGTCATTCTTTTCTGCGAAGGCCAGGAGTGTATCTAGAAATACCCATGAGTCTGTGTCCTTGGTCAAAACGTAGGGAAGTCACGCACTTGAAATGTACACGTGAAACTTGCCAGATTTGTCATGCAACGCGCTCCCCTGATTGAAGATGCTCACCCAACCCAGCCAGCTGCTCAATGAGGCCCCAAAAGCGCACTTACTTTAATAGCTGGCGCTTGGTGGCAAGCCGAAACTGTGTCGAAGTGGCTGTCTTCAGGAGCAACCGAAAGCTGTAGTGCTTGACAACCTGAAGGGCTTCAGAGCGCGCCATGCCAGCAAAGCCATGAGAGCACGCTTGCAACTGGGCACTGCAGCTCGCAACGCGACGTCGCGCATGAGAAGCCTCTGAAATTTTAAGTCATGGTGCGAAATGCATTGCCTTTCGGACTTTGTCTGCAAGACGACCATAGTCACTGCTGCACCTGTCAGATGGCGGCTAAAAATTTCTCGCCCAGCCACCACTCTGCAAAATGGCTTGGGCTGAGGAGTCGGTTGCCAAGGCTGGTCAAGCTGTTAGGGTTTAAGGGTTTAGAGTTAACCCGGCCCAAACATCCTCGGTGGTGACCACCTTTTGGGTTTTCATGGTTCCCTCGTTTAATTGCATCATGTCAGAGCTGAAACAAGTGAAAAGGGCTCTCTTAATCTTGCCGTAACGGTACTTCTGGCCATACCAATCTTGCAGTCTGCTGTGAGTACAACTTCCTTCAAGTTCCAGAGTTTCCATCTTTCTCTGTCCTCCAGGTTGCCTTGGCAAGGCGATAACGTCCGAAGTTCCCTTGGTCGCGACACAAAACATTGGCCGTCGCTGCAGGGACCAGCAGTACTGGAGATTATCACACTTGCTCGCGCCGATCTTGCCGACAAGAATCTTCGCCATTCAAGTGAGGATTTGCCTTCCATTGCCAGCAGGGTTTAGTACTTTGCATTGCGTTCACTCTGCAGCCACTAATTGCAACTACCAGCCACCATGACCAAGCTTTGCCTGAAAACTGCCAGGTCAATGGCGGTTAAATGAAAATCAAAGGCTGACAAGACACCGTAGGTTTGCAGAAGTTACGTTACCAGCAGTTTCCAACCTTTGTCCCCACGGCTGCCACATCGGGCTGTCAGACCCACCCGCAGTTTTGGTAGGAGCCAGGTTTTTTTTGGGTATTTTTTTTGTTTTTTTTTGGGTATGTTTTTGGGTTTAGGGTTTAGGGTTTAGGGGTTAGGGTTTAGGGTTTAGGGTTTTGGGGTTTTAGGGTTCTAGGGTTTTAGGGTTGTAGGGTTTTAGGGTTTTAGGGTTTTAGGGTTTAGGGTTTAGGGCTTAGGGCTTAGGGCTTAGGGTTTGGGGCTTAGGGTTTAGGGGTCAGGGTTTAGGGGTTAGGGTTGAGAAAACCAAAAAAAAACACCCAAAAAAAAACAAAAAATATACCCAAAAAGAACCCCCACCCGTTTTGGTACAGCCTGTGAAGCAACGCGCAAGGCTGCGGCCAAACTCCTGAACCCTCGCACACAAAACGGATTTCGTAACAAGGAGAGATGAATCCCCATTTGATTCCTTCATCTTCCTTCCCAGCTGGTGCGGAACGTCGGGGTCTCGGGGACATGCCAACAGTCTCTCTGGTCCAACAGAGGATCATGGGGCTGCTTCTTGGTGTTTCACAGTCCGAGCTTACCCATGCTTAGGTATAGACCATCAAGGTCTGAAAAAAAAGCAGGACAATTCGAGAATACTCGCAAGCTGTAAATTCAGCGTAGCGTATGAAACACTAGTGACAGCATGGCCGTTCAATACGCGACGCTCTACGTACTTTGCTTTGGAGGTCTCTCGGCCGATTCTCAGCCGAACTCCCAAACCCGAGATCTGTCGAAGCCATTGCCTTCTCCTCCTCAGTCGCCTCGTCTCCCAGAACGAAGAAATACTTGATGGTGCGCTGGCTCTGGCACCTACCAGGCAGCATGAAATCCAGCATTCATGTACTCTATATTGCTACACAACAAGCACGCACAGAGGCAGGGCAGAAGAGCACGATCACCGAAGCTGCAGTAGTTGAACGATGCCTACATGTCGCAGTTCAAGACAAGTTGAAGACAGGCTGAAGACCTGTCGCAAAGGCCGGTGGTGGAGTTGATCTCCTGGGCCCAGGTCTGCCGCACCTGCAAGCCCGCTGCAAGCACCAACTTGAAAAAACAAATCGCGGACGAGTGAAGAGCTTTTGGCTGCACAGCGCTTTGCGCTTCTGAAAACTGAGAATTGCAAATTGATCGCAAATGTGTAGTTTGGGTCAAGTCTCCGTGTCCATGTTCGCGCGGTTGCGGCTGCCACTTGCAGGTATGATAATCAGCAAGTCATAGTGCCTCGGCTTGGTGCTTGGCGGCTACCAGCTCGGAGAGCTGTTCATGGACGTGAGCTGCGTGATGAAGCAGTTGGCAAGCGTGGAACTGGCTCTAACCCTCTGAATCTTCGAGCGCTCCACATGTAGCCCTCGGAATGCTGCAGCTTTCAAATGGGCTAAATGCAGACTGCCTCTTTGTTCTTCTGACTGGGATCCCCTTTCAAAATGACCCTGTTGCCCGTCGCCGTGCAAGCTATGCAGTATGAAGGCTGCAGATTGAAGCTTGATTGCAGCAGACTCGATTTAACAACGAGCCAGTTGCCTCACATGTGAGTTCATAAGATGCAAGACTGATGCAAGTCTTGATGACAAGCTTGTGATGTGCTTCGGACATGCCTGACTGGATAATCTAGCCATATCAATGACTCATCATAGACATGTACTGTACCTTCAGGAACCGTCGCTATCTCGTATTCATCTCTGCTTCAAGGAATGGGGTCACAGCCGAAGAGCGACCCCCACGAAGCCATAGCAGCAAGCAGCATCAACACTCTCCCAATGACCCAAAGGGGGCAAACCCCACAGAGGGGTTGACGAGACAGATGTCAACAAATGTCAACAGCCAACACTTCATATGCCACGTTGCGGTAGCGCTGCCGGTTGAGACGTTTGCTGCAAGACTGTTGTTCCTCCCACATCTCGACGGAACACACCGTTCCCTGAGCTGCTCAACTGTGAGGTGCTCCTAGCGTCTATTAGAACCTCTTTCCAAAACCAGAAACAAGTGAAATGTGCGGGTAACAGTTGTCAGGCATCACTGGATAGAACACATCGACACAGGCCAGGAGTCCGACCTGGAGCAGCAATGCCACTCCACATGAAACGAGCGCAATAACAACACTGTTGTCAGGTGGTCGCAACGCGTCGCAACCATTGTTGTCATGTGATGTCAATCACGTCCACCCCGCTTTCTGATAAAGGCCTGAACACGGCCACGAGCACCAAGACCTGACTGGACGATGGTGCAGAGAGAGAGAGAGAGAGAGAGAACAAAACATGTTGATGCAGACGCCTGCACGGCGACCAGAGCCGTGGCGCAAAACCGGCGCAACCAAATCCAACATCTCGGGCGTGCAGGGCGCGGTTTCTTGAAGTTAGCATCTGCAACTTCCAAAAAAAACATTATGGATGGCCTACTCTTGATCTCACATCCACTACAACAGCCGAGGAGCCGGTCACGTCCGTTCTGCGTCGATTGCTCTTTGTGGCCAGACCCTTAGAGAAAGTTAGGTGTTGCAAAAAAGGAGAGGCTGGGTGTACAAACAGCTTCAACATGGCTTCCGACAGCCACGCATGATCCACTAAATCACTAAATGCTGTACTTTCTAGCTGACATCATCCACCTCGAAGCTACGCATCTGCAGCGGCTATATCCACCAAGAGGTAATCCAAGCGAGAGGCGGCTGGATGCCAGGTCTAAAAAGTTTTGGCCATCCTCTTCTGCGCATGGCAGAGACATCGCAGTTGCTGAAAGCACGACACCCAAGGCTCAAATTCCACGAGGTCTTATCTATGTCGAATCTATGTGCAAAGAAACATGGTGGTTAAGCACAGGTGTGGGAGGTGCAGATTCTGACCGGTTTGCTGAAGTTTGCTGTGTTGCTTCGCTGACCGCCTCATGGGTGCCAAGATGGGGGCGGCGTGCAACGTGAATTCCCCAAGGAATGAGTCAAACTGAGCCTACGAAGCTCTGCGAAGCCTCTTTTTTCGAGTGTTGAGTCTGTTGCCTCCGTCGCCGAAGGTCTTGCTCTGTACACGGGACACAGGCTGGAAGAAGCGTAGGAGCGTGCGCAGGTATGTACGCCCCCCCCAAGTGTCCAGCCCGAGAAAGATCAATTAAAAGGAAACGCAAATCACAAAGAGGAAACCCCCGCGGTCTCCCCCAACATCCACCCCCTTCCCCCACCCCCCGGCCACGTAGCCCCCAGCATGCGCATTCGGGCGTGCGCACCCGCGTGCGCTGCTCTGAGACTCTGCAAGAGCCGCTCTCGTAGCAGTCGTAGTAACTGTACAGGCGCTCTCTCAAGCAATCCGCGTAGCGACTTCGTCGCAGATGTTGGCTCCTTTCGCATGGTGCTGCCATGACAGCATGAAGTACTGGAGGCCCGCGTCCGCTGAGTGTGAGATGCTGGACTCTGCTGAGCAACCATAGAGGTAGATGTCGGCGAAGAAGGCCTCCAAGGACGTAAGCCCAAAGGCCTGACCAGCATGGAACTGGAAGCCGAGCTTGCGGAACTTGTGCAAAGTCTCTGGATCCTGCTCGTCGGTTACAAGATATACTGGCCACTTCCGGCCGTATAGTAGCGAATCCGCATGTGCCCTGAGATCCTCTGGCCGCATGGGCTTGCTCGATGTTGCCTTAGCTAGGGCACACTGCTTCGCACACCACTTTCGCACAACCAGCTTTGCACCAATTTTCGGCCGAAGGTGCTTCACCTCTGTGCTGTACTAAGCCGGACCAGTACAGAGCCAGGTAAGGCTGTCCATTGAAGAGCTTCCGGCGCACGTTCGCAAAGAGGCCTTCGTACTTCGTCCGAAGCCTCATGTATGGTGCCACATGTATGGTGCCACACACTGTGCTCCCTTCCAAACACAGCCACTGCCCCTGTACTGACCCCCTGGAATCTATTCCGAGGAAAGCCCCCCGCCCGGATAAAACTGCGGACCTTCACTGCCCATCCCTTCACAAAACTCGAAATAGATCTCTTCACTGTGACGGTCCTGGAGAAAGAAGCGCCAACCTCGTAGTTGAAGATACAACTACATTTCGCTACCCCCCACCCTCCCTCCCTCCCGCCCCCAACCCGCCCCGCCACAAAAGCAACACTGGAATCAGTGATTCGGGACACGATGTATTGGCGTGAAGTAGGAACGTTCCAGACCCCAACTCTGCGATCTTTTTCAGCACTGCCATAAACAACCTTAAGATGTAAACATACAAACCCCCAGCCCTGGACTCAAATCTGCTCAAATCTGCTCAACTCAGAGAGCCTCAAAGCCATGGGCCAGTAGTCGAGGCTCGCCGGTGACCAACTTCTGGAAATCACCTATCACGTTGGCTACATCTACGAGTTCCTCTCAGGATGGGCCTGGCTTGCCCTCAATGACCCCTTAAAGGCTGCACAAGTTACGAGGCTACGGTAAAGAGGATTTAAGGCCCACCCATCGTGGCTGTTCCTGAGAAGTCTTCAGCAGGCTCGCTTGGTACATGCAAGGCCTAGGCTTTTCACACCATTGAAAAGGAAGACTACATGGTGAGAGGAAACATCAATCCCGGCTCCAAAGCCTTGAAGCAGTTTGATTCAACGTGCTTAAACGTCATTTGAAAAAGCAGTACAGTATTGATCATACTTGAAGACCACCAAGGATCCGATTCCGAAGCCCTTGCAAACATGACGCAGTCGATGCAGGTGCGCGTACGCTACACCGGTACAACATGATATCGTGACAGAAAATACATATATGAGAAAGAAACAAGGGGGTGCAAAGCAGGAAAGCCTTTGCTTCCTCTGTCCGGCGGGCTGGGAACCCCCCTCCTGGTAGCGCAGCTCTCTTGCGTAAGCTGCACATGCCAAGAGCCCGTGCGAAATCCAACACGCAAAGGCCATTTACACAAGAAGACGATAGAGCACACTGAACACACGTCGCACAGGTATCTCCAAGACACGTAATAGTGTGAGCCGAAGAATACTCAATCCGGAAGGAAAGGGCCGAAAACGCAGGAAGCCTGGGTTTTGCAATGTTGTAAAACTGAAAAAACTATGCAATCTCCGAGGCAGATTCGCACACCGGGCAGAGGAAAGAACACAGACACATCAGTCGACCCGCGTGACGGGTTTCTAAGTTAAAACGGTTTCAGGGTGTGGGGGTTGGGCGAGACTGCGAGACATGCAGCAGAAGACTGGTGATCCGAATGTCCGAAGCAGTGCACAATTTTCGGGTTGCACAGTCAGGGCATCTTGTTGCAGGAGCATATTCTTACTAGGGAGCTTAGGGTTCTTCAAAGCATGGCGGATGATGTCGGGGTTATTCTGTCGAAGAAGGCTCTTGTTGAATTGCAATAGGACCAATAGGATTACAGCCACCGATGCGGGACAACAGAGTTGAAGCGTGGGGAGTCCTACTGCTGTTTCCTTAACAGTGTGAGAACTGTCGTTTTGTCATCGGACATCCCTGGACTGAACCGCTTCTAAACCTCAAACCCGAATCCTCGTCCCTAACCTCAGAGAAGCCCACGCCCTCCACTGAAATCCACTTGGTGGAAGCCCTTCTGAAGCCCCTCCTCTTGACTAACCCAACCCAGTCGCGCAATCATGGCTGGGATTCAGGGCGTTGAAAAACTCCTTGTGCTCGGAGCTCTCTCCTGGGTTCCCCACGGGTCGAAAGTCGACGTAGGCAACTTTTGAACTTTTCACAACTTTAACTTTCTGGGATGCTACTGATTCTTACGTCCTATCACAACGAGCAGGATCTGAACGTGGACACCTTCTTGCGAAACCTAAGGAGGCTTGATTCCGAAACCCTTTGCTGGCCACTCGAAGCATCTCAAATCCGCCTCGGTCTCCTGCCGAGAAGCGTTTGGAACAAGCAGACATGGATTCGGTCTTTCCCCCTAACCCAACCCTTCCCCCGGTGCCGAAAAGTGTGATGCACCCCCCCCCCCCCCCCCCCCCGCACCTCTTTGGACCCACCGGAGCCCTCCGGGACCCCCCCTGACCCCTGCGACCCTTTCCTGGGACCCCCCTCCCCTTTTTTGTTGAGGCCCTCTTTCGGCGGCGCGCGCAAGCATTTACAATTATGCTCCAGCATGCCTCCGCTAATGTGTACATGCTTGAAGATCCTGTCTGACACATGCATGTGCCTACGCACATGTACATGCAGACGTATGCTTTTTCAGGAGACGACCTTCACACAAACAACTCGCAGTGTCGCGATTGAAGCGTGAGGCTTGGCCGATTTGTTTTGCCAGCAGCGCAGACAGGGAAGCAGACTCGGAACTGCATGCGAATTTGCCAGGCATCCTAAGCCCTTCCATGACTTTGGTGAGGTTCAGAACTCTCTTGAGATCGTACAGCAAACTCTGCAGACGTCAGTTCGGCACTTCAGAGCACAGTCTGCCAGCAACCGGGGCACGTTCAAATAGCCAGAAGTCACGTCTCTTCCCCGACGCCTCAGGCACAACAGAGGGTTCGGGCACAGATCACGAATGAATAAAGGCAAGCATCAACAGCTGCTCTGAAACAAAGAGCTTGTTGCCATGCCTCTGGCTCGTGTTCGAGTTTCCTCTGGTAGGAAATCTCAAGATGCACAGGTGTTCTCATGTTAATTACGTTTGCGCATGGGCCTCCCTTTCCAGTATCTTCGGGCCGGAATTCTTGTCGTGCCGTCTTGAGGTGCTGCAGAAATGCCCAGAACTTTCATGCTCTGCCTGTCGAGCCGCCAAGCACCTACACATTCTGTTGGGCTGAGGACTTCCGGGCATGTCCATGATTGTTTCTGCTTCTCAATGAGGCCCAAAGTTGCATGCGACAAGCAAAACAAAGCAGAGTTGGAATGGCAGAACATCGACAGTTGCAGATGCAGCACCTGGCAAGGCCGGAAAGAAGGGGCGACAACGCGCAGACAGCCACGCGGACGAGAGCAGGAAGCAAAGCGAAGATGATTGCACATCAAGGGGGAGAAAGGCAAAACACCACAGAAAGGGCAGTTGACCAAATGCCACCGCCCTGGGCATGGCAAGCGCCCCAGTGAAAGCAAGCAAACATGACGAAACGTGATGATTCGGGTCCTAAAATAGGGGTACCCCATTTCTACCCCAAATAGAAGAGGATCCCCTTAAAGGGACCCCCAAGAAGAATAACCCCTTCGGAAATTTCCCCAGCGGCCCCCGACCTCGCCTCCCTCCGATCAAAGCGGCATGTCCGCTCGGCCGCCAACTTGTCGCGGTCACCCTCTGGGATGGCGCCGGGATAGGCGCAGACCTTTGAGCTGGTGAATGCTTCCCAAACTACAAAGCTCTCCGAGAATGATCTCAGAAGGGGTTAGATACAAAACACGAGAAGCGACGCCAAACATTCCCGAATCCTCCTTAGCAGCTGTTCTCGCATTATCTTCGGTTCGTAGATAAAGACAAAGACAGCGCTTCTGATGAAATTTCGGGATTTGGAGGCCATGTTCTCAAGCTCCAGGACGGTGTCCAAGCACTCTGGCGCACGGCCTTCCAGGCGAACGGGAGCCACGACCAGCTGTCGAGGCTTCACCGCCCTTGGACGTCAATTCGGGCGTTTGGGAATGTAAGGGTTTTTCGACAAGAACGGACTCCGAATAGAGACCCCCCAAAATAGAAGGATCCATTTGTACTAAGGACCCCAATATGGTACCCTAATATTATCGTAGACAGGGTTATTGGAGGATCGGTGGTGGAGTTATGTGGCTTTTCACTTTGCGACGCGTCGAAGACCTGACGCTCATGTGCAGCATGCTCTTCGCAAAGCTCCCGATTCGCCCTGTTTATCCCTGTTCTATATTTCCTTCGGTTGCAGCTGTCGTTTTTCAAAGATGCCCTTGACGCCAAGGTGTCGTTGCTTTGACAAGTTCTGGCTTCAGCTCCAGTTCTTGCAGTTGGTTGCGCTTGTGGTTGTCCTCCTCTTCCCTTGTGTCTGTTTCCTGTCCAGAACCTACCGCCCGATCACAGACAGCTCGTTCTCGCGTTTTGGGGCTGCATCGAATCTCGTAAAGACTCAAACCATGCCTGAGGACCTGTATGCGTCAAGCATTGACAGGATGTTGTTCACGTAGCCTGTCAGGGCTTGGCCGAGTTGGCTTTTGGAGATTGTAGGGACATTTTGGGGGGTTCGGCTGCCATTGGGGTCGCCGGGGGCGAGGGACACCACAGGAAAAGAGCAAGGCATTTAAAGTCTCCCAGAGTGCGCCAAAGATAGCAGAGAGAAACTGCCAAAGTCAGCCCTTACATTCTCACCCCGCAAACGAACCAAACGAATACTGAACTTTGAACCTTCGCACGGGATGGACCAAACAGGAGCCTATGCGGTGCTCCCTGAACCAGTGCCCAGAACAGCCACCTGAACGCAGCTATTCCTTGACCATGCAAGAAAAACGAGACATCCTACCCTGAACCCTAAACCCTCTAAACCCTAAACCCTAAACCCTAAACCCTAAACCCTCCGGAACCCGCTCCAAAAAACCGCCGCGTGCAGCCTCCAGGGCCGCCGATGAAGGCCACAGAGCCCCCAAGGTCCCCAAGGTCCCCAAGGCTGGCACTGCTCGGACTGCTCAGGCTCGGTTCCGGGCTCGCCTCCTCCCGGGGTTTTCTCGGAGCTGGGGGAAAGATAGGAAAGAGGAGACCCATAAGGGTTCGGTTCGGTGGTCCTTAGAGAGCTTCTGATCAGGTACCCCTGATTTCGGAAACCCCCCCAATTCCAAGCTTGGGGAAATGTAGTTTAAAAGTTGGAAGTAGTGACTGTCGTTTTTAATCAGCCCTATTGCCACCTTCGACCCTACGGTTTCAAGTGGCCAAAATGGCAAGATAGTTGGTATTGGTTTGTGAGGATTGCAAACTTCCACAAGTGATGCGGATGTGAAAGTGTTGTGAGGCTTGATTCGGGCTTTGTGAAGGGCTTGCATTGTTTCATGCTTCAACGAGTTTCTGTGCTCTTGCGTCAAGGTTTGTATCCCGAAGGACGCGGCCCACAGTGACAGTTTGCAGGTCCAGGGTTTAGGACGGCTGATAGCTATCTTGCGCGGAATGGAAAAGGGCCTTTAAATTGAACTGAGACCCAATGATGACAACTGGACCCCGCGCGATCCTCAGCCGCCGTGCATTGCATGGACCAGTCATATAAAGCAACATCCAGCCCCACAAGACTCCAAACCAAACTATCGCCGGGCTCACCAAGACAAGGTCAACAAAATGACGTAATCCTGAACCCCTTGTGATTGAAGTCGGGCCCCTGGCCCCAGCGTATCCACACTACGACGTAAAGTCGCTACGAGGGTTGCAGCCTCTGGGCGCCCTCGCCGAAGATTCGCTGCTCCCCAGGCTCGCCTGAAAAGAAATGGTCCGGGATGGCAAAACCCCCCCCTATTTTTCAACTCAACACTCCTTACAGCGAGGCTTAGCAATGGAGCTGTCATTGAGGATGCTTGTTCAGCTAGCTGATTTCAGCACAGGTCATCCACCCTTCCGGCAGCTCCGAGCGGGAAACGCAAGCAATAAAAATGGAAGTACTTGACTCCGGGACCAGAGCTTCGAGAAAGAAACACAAATACCAGGATTTGAAAAGTAGAAGTGGCCAAGATTCCAATGCTGCCAATGATGCTTGTGGAAGCCCGTGATGTTACTGAGAGATGCCGGAGTCAGCCGACGATGGCCAAGTTGGTGTGAAGCTAACAAGCCCTCAGCCGCAGAAATTCTGATGTAGCAGTGTTGTTGCATTGTCCTAGGAGTTACCACAAGTGTGTGTGTGTGTGTGTGTGTGTGTGTGTGTGTGTGTGTGTGTGTATGTGTGTGTGTGTGTTTTGCGAGACATGCTCACATGGTCGCACACCCAGCCGCAATGTTTTGTTAGGTCTTGGGTGCATGGCACGATTGAGCGCAGGCACTTTACAATGTTTTGTTACAATGGATTCGGCGATTGGGGGTAGAAAAGTTTCTTTAAGTGGAAATGTGGGAAATCGACTTCGGATTTGGCACGAGACTTGCTCTATTGTTGTTGATGTATCAGGGTGTACAATCACGCATGTGGAGCTTCAGGAATCATTAGGCAGCATTTTCAGCACTGCTGAGCGAACCGTGGAATGCGCAAAAAGTGCAAGCGTGCTGCCAGCACCTGGGTTTTTACGTGCAACAGCGTTTTCTTCTAGATTCTAGAAACCTCATACATTCTTGCACAGCACGTATGTTCTACAAAGAGGTACAAACGCTACGAATGCCGATGTTGTGTGTTGTTCCACACAGTACTAGTGTGTTGTACAACAAAGACGCAAAAGCCCTGTGAATATCGGTGTCCTGGGCCTGGGCATGCTCGCAAAAGGCATGAAAAGCTTGTGACTGCCGTATGGTTTCGGTACCGGATGATCCAACTACATCCCATGGTCGACACACTCACCAGATCCACCAACCATATGCTAGTCTTACTGTGCAGATGGGGGGGGGGAGGCTGTGTGGGATTTCGGTGCAAAGCTTTCTAGGACAATTTCTGCTAAAAGCCGAGAACCTCACCAACCAGACGATCGAACGAGAAGTTGCGAAAACTGATGAGCAAAACAAAAAACGGGAGGTATCACTGAGCAACGCCTGCCCTTGACCGATTGCATGCATGTATGCATGTGGGCGGGTGCGTTCGTTTGCTCAACCCTGCCGCTTAAATGTCTGAAAATTTCTTCGCATTCATTGTCATATCTAGCACAACACCACAACAAGGCAGGCGGGATGCGTGCGTTAGAGTTTCACATCATCTAGTACGGCAAGAGGTTTGCGCCAAGCTCGTGGAGGAAGCACTGCGTCAGATCATTCTACCGTTAGGCACGACGCGAAAAGCCGGGAGCGCTGCAGTTTTGCTTCCTTCCGTGTGCCAAAAACACGTTTTCGATACACGTGCTGAGTGGCAGGTCCATTTGTTCTGACACCAAGTCTCCGTAGGCGATCCGGATCTGCACACGGCCACCACAGCCAGACACCCCATGCCGACAAAGCCCACGGCGAAGCGACGGCACCAAGATGCAGCCTCAGTTCAAGGGGGGGACACGTCATCCTCAGAGACCTCTGACAAGGGGGGCAGGATCCAAGGGTTGTCACAAAGATCGACAGGCTATGCCGTCAGCAGTATTCCTAGGGAAGCCTGCGTACACTCACCACAAAGTCACTACATCTTATTGTGAAGGCGTGAAAACCCAGCTTCCAACACCTGTATGGTTGTGAGCAGAACGCCGTGATGAAGATACGAAAACGAGTGCAACTCCCAACAGAAAGAAGCCATGTTAGCTCGCCCAGTCCTTGCCACATTGTTTGGAAAGGTTCGCTGTTGTACACCGTATACTGCAAGCGCCTCTTACGGGCCTTCTCGGGCATGTATTCAAAGGATCTCAGGTGACAATGGCAAAATCACGTCCCAAGCGCCTTCTCGGCAAAGGGATCATCTCCCTTGTTGCTGTTGGAAGGAACCATGGGCTTCTGGGGGCTTCTGGGGCCTTTCAAGCTTGCTTCAAGCCAAATGCTGCAGAGCCGTAGGCCTGGCAAGGGATCAAGAACTCGCAGAAGCCTTCCGCACATGCAGCCAAAGAAAAACTTTGTAGGAAAAACTTCTTGGAGCGTTAAAGTCGGTGTTTTGTGCTGCGCAGTCGGCTTCACACCCGGCTGCATTGCGCGTTTCTGCTCGAGCACGACTTTGTGTGCCTCACGCCATATGCGCAACGCTTGCCGGCGCAACCCGCCTGTGAGGATCAACTTCGATGGCGCTTCAGGGTGGGCTGGAAGCTTCTACTACGAACCTGAACTAACCTTTGTATCAAACGTGCTCATCCAAGAGATGGGCCAAACTTGGTCTGGACTGATGGAGGAGGGATCCCGAGCTGCATAGGGCAACACCCGGCACTCTCGGCTTGCATCGTGGCCCCGGGACAGTTAAGAAAATGATCAAGGTTTCAGAGGCACCTGCTGAGGGTATCTGATCAGCGTGCAAATTTGAAACACATAAAGGCAACCCGCCACTACGGCCTTCACACGCATGTTCTCGGCGTCTTGCTTGGTCGTACAACGAAGCCGGCTGCACTCTACATCCCGGACCCGGTGATGTCTTTTCGAAGAATCTTCACGTACTTGACAACTGATAAGCATTCTGCTTGCAAGTGAAGAAATGTCGGCAACTGGATGTTCATGCCGCTACGAGTTCAATGTCAGCTTGCTGGAAAAAATGGAATGCTTGTTGAGGATCCCAGACAACGCCCGAATCAGTTGAGGCCATCGGAAACAAAGCCTGCAATAGACACCTTCACTTTTTGTGCTCCGGAAGCTGCCATCATCGTGACCAGCGCTTCGAAATCCTGACACACAAGAGGCAGAGTGACGGAAAAGGTCCCATGCCAAGGAGGATCGCTGCTGGGCTTTTTGAGCGCTGGATGGCCGAGTGCACCTAGAATGCGAATGAAGAACCGCTTGTCGTGGCTGTCACAAGCTCCAATCTTCGGTTTTTCATAAGAAGTGTCTGTTGTACCGGACTTACCTTCGAGTTTTAAAGGCTACAAGCTCTTGCGGCTGCTGAGCTGGTCCAGAAGCAGCATTGGAGACGCCTGAACCCCCCAAAACTCTGCCCATCCCCAAACAAAGCAAGACTAGAAGACCCCTCAGCTGACAACGACTGCCAACAGCTCCAGTCAACAGATCCGAAGACAGATGAGCCAATGCCAAGACAGCGTCCGGCAAAGGTGCGCTCAGCTGCAGGACCTTCCAAAATCGCAATCCAATGGCCAAACTAAACAACTGGGCCAGAAATCATCAACATGGTATGGTTCTCGGGCAGTTTACGATGGAGCTGTGCTATCGGCGTCGTGCAAATCTTGCTCGGCTCTTTCTTCGCTCCAGCACCTGCAATGCGCTGGAAAAGCCTTGAAGTGCTGTACACGCAGAACGACCCAGCAGAAACACTTGTGTCTTGTCTCTGGAAACACCTCTGAGTCTGAATCCCGCTATGGCCGCTATGGCATGGTGCAAGATGTCAAGCTGCCCGAGGTCTGGAGCTGCTTCGGCCGTCCTCTTTGCCTAGCAGGCCTAAGGCCCACGACGCCATGCAGGCGAAACTATCAAAATTGTGACTTCTCAGCATCTAGGCGGCGGAAGGCGTAAGTGTATGCACGCTGCAAGATGCTGCCAAAACGTGTGAATTAGGCGAAAATCTCCGTGTTCGTCTTCGCTCGCTGTGTCAACGATGAAGTATGGACGCTGCACAGACCGAGAGATGACGCGAGATACGCACAATGCTCACATCAGCCCGAGGCTACGAAGAACGCGAAAAGGCAAAGACTCAGTGCTCCCTTCCCGGCGCTGGAGGAATCGACCTTCAGAATGCTGCGCCACGCGGGAGCTGTTGCCCAGAGTGTTGTTGAAGCTCACCATCTCCGTCCAGTTGGAGCTGTTGCCCAGGGCACCTTGCAGCAAGCGCTTGCCCGGAGTGTTGTTGAAGCTCACCATCTCCGTCCAGTTGGAGCTGTTGCCCAGGGCACCTTGCAGCAAGCGCTTGCCCGGAGTGTTGTTGAAGCTCACCATCTCCGTCCAGTTGGAGCTGTTGCCCAGGGCACCTTGCAGCAAGCGCTTGCCCGGAGTGTTGTTAAGGCTCACCATCTCCGTCCAGTTGGAGCTGTTGCCCAGGGCACCTTGCAGCAAGCGCTTGCGCGGAGTGTTGTTGAAGCTCAACATCTCCGTCCAGTTGGAGCTGTTGCCCAGAGCACCTTGCAGCAAGCGCTTGCCCGGGGTGTTGTTGAAGCTCAACATCTCCGTCCAGTTGGAGCTGTTGACCAGGGCACCTTGCAACAAGCGCTTACCGGGAGTTTTGTTGAAGCTCACCATCTCCGTCCAGTTGGAGCTGTTGCCCAGGGCACCTTGCAGCAAGCGCTTGCCCGGAGTGTTGTTGAAGCTCACCATCTCCGTCCAGTTGGAGCTGTTGCCCAGGGCACCTTGCAGCAAGCGCTTGCCCGGAGTGTTGTTGAAGCTCACCATCTCCGTCCAGTTGGAGCTGTTGCCCAGGGCACCTTGCAGCAAGCGCTTGCCCGGAGTGTTGTTAAGGCTCACCATCTCCGTCCAGTTGGAGCTGCGCTTGCCCGGAGTGTTGTTGAAGCTCACCATCTCCGTCCAATTGGAGCCGTTGCCAAGGGTACCTTGCAGCAATCGCTTGCCCGGAGTGTTGTTGAAGCTCACCATCTCCGTCCAGTTGGAGCTGTTGCCAAGGGCACCTTGCAACAAGCGCTTACCGGGAGTTTTATTGAAGCTCACCATCTCCGTCCAGTTGGAGCTGTTGCCCAGGGCACCTTGCAGCAAGCGCTTGCCCGGAGTGTTGTTGAAGCTCACCATCTCCGTCCAGTTGGAGCTGTTGCCCAGGGCACCTTGCAGCAAGCGCTTGCCCGGAGTGTTGTTGAAGCTCACCATCTCCGTCCAGTTGGAGCTGTTGCCCAGGGCACCTTGCAGCAAGCGCTTGCCCGGAGTGTTGTTCAAGCTCACCATCTCCGTCCAATTGGAGCTGTTGCCCAGGGTACCTTGCAGCAAGCGCTTGCCAGGAGTGTTGTTAAGGCTCACCATCTCCGTCCAGTTGGAGCTGTTGCCCAGGGCACCTTGCAGCAAGCGCTTGCCCGGAGTGTTGTTGAAGCTCACCATCTCCGTCCAGTTGGAGCTGTTGCCCAGGGCACCTTGCAGCAAGCGCTTGCCCGGGGTGTTGTTGAAGCTCACCATCTCCGTCCAGTTGGAGCTGTTGCCCAGAGCACCTTGCAGCAAGCGCTTGCCCGGAGTGTTGTTGAAGCTCACCATCTCTGTCCAGTTGGAGCTGTTGCCCAGGGCACCTTGCAGCAAGCGCTTGCCCGGAGTGTTGTTAAGGCTCACCATCTCCGTCCAGTTGGAGCTGTTGCCCAGGGCACCTTGCAGCAAGCGCTTGCCCGGGGTGTTGTCGAAGCTCACCATCTCCGTCCAGTTTGAGCTGTTGCCCAGAGCACCTTGCAGCAAGCGCTTGCCCGGAGTGTTGTTGAAGCTCACCATCTCCGTCCAGTTGGAGCTGTTGCCAAGGGCACCTTGCAGCAAGCGCTTACCGGGAGTGTTGTTGAAGCTCACCATCTCCGTCCAGTTGGAGCTGTTGCCCAGGACACCTTGCAGCAAGCGCTTGCCCGGAGTGTTGTTCAAGCTCACCATTTCCGTCCAGTTGGAGCTGTTGCCCAGGGCACCTTGCAGCAAGCGCTTGCCCGGAGTGTTGTTGAAGCTCACCATCTCCGTCCAGTTGGAGCTGTTGCCCAGGGCACCTTGCAGCAATCGCTTCCCGGAGTGCTGTTGAAGCTCACCATCTCCGTCCAGTTGGAGCTGTTGCCAGGGCACCTGCAACAAGCGCTTACCGGAGTTTTATTGAAGCTCACCATCTCCGTCCAGTTGGAGCTGTTGCCCAGGGCACCTTGCAGCAAGCGCTTGCCCGGAGTGTTGTTCAAGCTCACCATCTCCGTCCAGTTGGAGCTGTTGCCCAGAGCACCTTGCAGCAAGCGCTTGCCCGGAGTGTTGTTAAAGCTCACCATCTCCGTCCAATTGGAGCCGTTGCCCAGGGCACCTTGCAGCAAGCGCTTGCCCGGAGTGTTGTTGAAGCTCACCATCTCCGTCCAATTGGAGCTGTTGCCAAGGGCACCTTGCAGCAAGCGTTTGCCCGGAGTGTTGTTGAAGCTCACCATCTCCGTCCAATTGGAGCTGTTGCCCAGAGCACCTTGCAGTAAGCGCTTGCCCGGAGTGTTGTTGAAGCTCAACATCTCCGTCCAATTGGAGCCGTTGCCAAGGGTACCTTGCAGCAAGTGCTTGCCCGGAGTGTTGTTGAAGCTCAACATCTCCGTCCAATTGGAGCCGTTGCCCAGGGTACCTTGCAGCAAGCGCTTACCCGGAGTGTTGTTGAAGCTCACCATCTCCGTCCAGTTGGAGCTGTTGCCCAGGGAAGCTTGCAGCAAGCGCTTGCCCGGAGTGTTGTTCAAGCTCACCATCTCCGTCCAATTGGAGCCGTTGCCCAGGGAACCTTGCAGCAAGCGCTTGCCGGGAGTGTTGTTGAAGCTCAACATCTCCGTCCAGTTGGAGCTGTTGCCCAGGGTACCTTGCAGCAAGCGCTTGCCCGGAGTGTTGTTGAAGCTCAACATCTCCGTCCAATTGGAGCTGTTGCCCAGGGTACCTTGCAGCAAGCGCTTGCCCGGAGTGTTGTTGAAGCTCGCCATCTCCGTCCAGTTGGAGCTGTTGCCAAGGGAACCCTGCAGCACTCGCGAACTCGTGGCATTGCTCAGAGTGGCCTGGGCTCCGGCCACCGCAATCAGAGCTGCTAGAACTGGCAGCATGGCGGCGAACTTGACGTAGCTTCTTCTAAGGACTGTAAGCTGCAAAGCAAAAACTGCGTCGGAAGTTCAGCAGAGGCATCCAGAGCTGCAACCTGTGACGAAAGCGTGGCAGCTTTATCCTGCAAATGTCGCTCCGTCCCCTCCGTAGTCGTGCAGCGTGCACGAGCAAAGCTACAGTACTAGGGTGCACGCAGCGCGCTCACCGCAGCTATACCCCAAAAAGTACACTTCGACAACAACGACAACGACAACGACAACGACAACGACAACGACAACGACAACAACGACAACAACGACAACGACGACAACGACGACAACGACAACAACGACAACAACGACAACAACGACAACAACAACAACAACAACAACAACAACAACAACAACAACAACAACAACAACAACAACAACAACAACAACAACAACAACAACAACAACAACAACAACAATGACAATGACAATGATTAGCGCTTGGAAAACTCCGGTCGCTGGTTCTAGCAGAGATTCCTGAGCCCGCCGATACCTTCGAAGCTTTGAACACTCAGAACTCCCGCACAAGTCCGACGCATTTCTGCTGATGCTGGTTGCGGGTGTCCCTGGCCTTCTGAGTCCAACGCACCAAGTGCCTGGGCAGCAGTACCGGCTTCTTTAGTTGGGCTCTTCATTGGAGCATCTGTGCAGCTTCTGTTTTGGTGCATGTTGGCAAGCCCTTCTCCAAAGCTGAAGGAAACTCAAGGTTCCTCTGCAACCCTCTGCACGCTGCGTGCTGCAGGCTGCTTTTTTTCGGCGAGCCGTTGGATCTATCTGGCCGAGAAGCGTTGAATTATGTACGCTCCCCAGCTAGCGAGGCACACCGACTTGTTGCTGGGCACCGAGGCGAGTTGACGAAAGCCAAATGTCAAGCCGAGGCCCCTTGACCAAAGCTTATCAGAGGTCAACCTGTACACGGGTGCACGAGCGATTCTAACAAAATCAAGAAGATCTGGAATCAACACATCCAGTTGTCCTTTTACCACATCAGGCTCTTCTTGTCCTCAAACCTTGGTAGTCTCTTACTGGCCCGTACCTGCAAACAGATCTTGGCTTGAACCCAGACACTTGTCGCAGAAAGAATAATATGGGAACGTCCTCATCAGGTACTCCTCCACCCTGTGCCTGGCTGTCGCATTCCACAGAAGGCATTCGTTGCTCCTGTTCCTTTTGGCATTTACGGGGCGATACGTGTATTTGGCTTGAACTCTTTTTTTCTGCAGCTTGGTGCCAAGGTAGTCGATGTACTTGGATGTCGACGAGTAGTTGAAGCACTTCACGGTGAAGTTTCGAAACTCATCCTCTGATTGAGTCAGTTTGTAATCAAACCTTTCCGGGAAGATTAAGCACTGCTTGCTCCTCAGCAGCAACTTCTCATCACTGCAGTCCAACGTTTTCAAGTTGTGGTTGCACTGAGAGAGCAGGTGCTCGATAGGATCGCGACATGGGAGGTGCAGTTCCACCTTGCTCCAAGATGAATATCTCTTCCAATATGTCCAGGGCTGCTCGTGGGACACGAGATCGCAATCCTCGTACCCGATCTCTTCCATAATCGGATACGGAACTTTCTGTCGGTTGTAGCCTGGCCAATTAACGCTGCCTACCCAGCTGAAAGAATCTGCTCTGTTCGCATTTTGGGCGTAGCGCAGGTTGGCCTGGAAGGCATCATACGAATAACCCTTGTGACCGCACACACGCTCGTACTTCAAGGCAGCCGCTCCGTTCACGTATGAGCCTCCCGTTTTGGCCATATGAATATGGCCGTACAGGACGAAGGGGTCCGGAGAGCTGTTTTCGTGGGAGGCTGCAGATCTGCGGGGTTGCCGAACTTCCCAAAATGGCGAGTGGTATGAAGCTGCAGACCATAGGCTCAAGACCAAAGCCGGCAGGCTCAGGACTGAACTGAAGATGACCAGCAGATTCCACACAGTGTCGGCCATGGACTTGGACGGGTGGAGCCAAACTGAACACTACGGGATACTAAGGGAGGACCACGTGAAGCCTGTCATGGCATACGGCTTCGGGAACATTGGGAACATCGCTCAATCTCAATTGGCAGGCAACTTGCTGACGCCGCTCTGCCTGTAACGCTACGAGTACCTCTGCTTCTGCTCCTGATGTGCTCAATCCTTCTCCGGCTAGTACAGCCACAGCGGAGATGAAGACAAGCCTTTTGCCAGGACTCGTTTCTAGGCCCCAAACATGTCCCAGGGATTCTTGGGGTGGTGCTCTTCCTCCTGCTCACGGTTCTGTTGCGCTTCGCCTTCCCTATACCGGCCCTGAAACCGTCGTTGTCGTGTCCGTTAAGGTCACGGTCACACCCTAAACCCAAAACACAGGCCCATGCAGTCTGAGTCTGAACCTGCAAAGCACAATGCACTAAATCCCCACACTTTTCAACTTGAAACCTCGAACATCTGCAGCCCTGAGCAGGTCAACGCCATCCCGAACCCAACCTTTGGAACCACGAGAGGAAGTATGAGGCAGCTTGGACAGTCAGTTGAGCACGAGGCGTGCGTCGCAGCGGATGGTACGCCGCCAGGTTGCCAAACACCATGTGCCCTGACACAACATCTGAGCTTGGCAAAGGCTTTTCAATATCGCAAGCTTGGGCTGAAGGGCTGGAAACATATAACATAAAAGAGGGAAGGCGTTTTTGGGACCAGTTGTGACCCGTCGTGCGCCACGCATGCATTCACATTTTGGCGTTCGCCTCGCGCTGTCCAACTTCAAAAAATGAAATCCACAAAGGATCGTGGCCCAACCTCCGAATGGGAGTGTATGCCTTCCACGCCGCGCGACCTGTTCGTTGCTTGTTTGTTGCTTGTGGTATAAGTCAGGAAGACAACGCGGCCCGCGAGTTCCGGGCCATGCGCAGCCGAAAGCAGCAAACCAACCCATTCTGAGGCCATTGAACTGGCAGCCGCTCTCCTCTCACCGAAAAACTCTACAACAACCTAAAAACTCAAACCCCAAGTTCCCAAAAAATGGGCCGAACATCCTTGAACCAACGGGCTCAGCACTAGTGTCAGACAAGCCCCCCCCTAGGAGCTCCAAGCCTAAAAAGCGAGCCTCAGCCCTGAAGTCAACACGGAAACACGCCCCCCCCCCCCCCCCCCCCAAAACTTCCAAAAAGGCAAAAAAAACATCGTGCCGGTTCATGTTAGAGGAAAGGAATTAATGTGAGTATCTCTTGTACCTGACTCGCCTTTGGGTCCGTAAAGGCTGCAAGCACTGCAGGTAATACCGAGGTGGCTCTGGAAGCATTGGTGGCTCCGTTGACGCTCCACAACCCTGCTGCCGATCCCCTCCCCAACAACGCAAGACCCATCATCAAGGCCGCGAAATCTTGCAGTCCTTCTTATCTGCCATGACCAGCGCGTCGAAACCAAGGCCATTCGAGAAGGGAACATGTCGATCTGCAGCCTGAAGAACAACAATAGAATAGAATCATAAGCTTTTGTCATGGATCTCCGTCGGTTACAATGCCAAATGCAGACAGGCCCGACATGCTCCACGTTGCAGCCGAGAAACACAACGAGCCAGAAATCTTCCACCTGCAAGGCCAAACTTGCTTGCCTCCGCAGTGGAAACGCCAAACCGCGGAATCTATTCCACCTCAACTTTACAATTGAGCCGCTCGTTCAACAACCCGAGGAATGGCTAATTCCTGATTAGGTTCAACAAGCTGACGAGGTTTCCCTGGCCAAGCGCCTCTGCAATCTCCACCGCATAGCAGCACGAAAGTCCGGGAATGGCAAGCCGACGATGAAACCTGCCCTGGATGCCTGAAGGCGGAGAAGCCAGGTAAGTTGCGATGCAAGATGCACCGCCCGCACTGCACTCATTCAAGCCGCAAGCCGCAGCCTGCCATATTCCTACCTAGTCCACCTGCAGCGACTGCATCCTGGCGCTGATGATCCATACCATGCAATGACTCATCCATTAGGACACAGGTGGCGAGCCTTATTCTAACACGCAAGAGGCAAGTGCTCAAAGCGCACGGCTGGAAGAAGAGGCTGATGGCTGGCGACCCGTTCCTCAAGAACCGAGCAAAAGCGCAAACCCCTCGAGAAACTTGGGCTGCAGGAATTGGGCTTTTTTTGGGACAAGCCGTGCGCGCCACGTAGAGATCTGCGTGTTCATCCCTTCTTGGACGCTGTGCGACCTGTTGCTTGCTCGTTCCTTGTGTTTGATGCATGGAAGGGAACACTGCTCACGAACCTCCAGCCCATGCGCAGGTGCAAAACACAAAACAAGAGGTGATCCATCAGAACCTCCCATTCTAGGGAACCCCCTTCAACTCGTTTCCCAAGGCCAGCTGGGAGTGCTCCTCGCACTCCAAAGCCGAAGCCTTGAACAGCTCACCATACAGCCCAATGTGCGACATCCTAACCTCAACGCCCCTCGTAAGCCCAAGTTAACAGGAAAACCGAGACTCCAAAGGCATCGAAGACTTTTGGGCGTTCGGGGCTGCGGCTACAAGCTTGACATATCCCCTCCTCCCAAGCAGATTCAAGAATCCTAAAGTCACATGAGCTGAGAGGCAGTGTCCGGGCGAAGGATGGGCGAAGGATGTGCTCAGCTGCAGGACCTTCCGGGATCGCCATCCAACAGCCAAACTAAAAATCGGGCCATATCCATATTATAATATATCATGAGCATCTATGAGTCATTGGAGCTGTGCTATCGGCGTCGTGACACATCTTGCTTGGCTCTTTTGCTCCAGCCGCGGCAATATCGCTGGAAAGGCATCGAAGCGCTGTACATGCCATGCAGAATGACCGCCTGCGCAGAAACACTTGCGTCTGAGTCTGAATCTCGCTTTGGCATGGTGCAAGAATGTCAAGCTGCCCAAGGTCTAGCACTGCGTCCGTCGTCCTCTTTGCCTAGCGGGCCCAAGACCCACGACGCCAGCAGGCGAAATTCTCAAAAATGTCATCCAGTGCAGAAACAGGAGACTCAGCGTCTATAGGCGGCGGAAAGCGTAAGTGTATGTACGCTGCCAAATGCTGCCAAAACGTGTGAATTAGGCGAAAAATCTCTGTGTTCGTCTTCGCTCGCTGTGGCAACGATAAAGTATGGACGCTGCGCAGACCGAGAGATGACGCGAGATACGCACAATGCTCACATCAGCCCGAGGCTACGAAGAACGCGAAAAGGCAAAGACTCAGTGCTCCCTTCCCGGCGCTGAAGGAATCGACCTTCAGAATGCTGCGCCACGCGGGAGCTGTTGCCCAGAGTGTTGTTGAAGCTCACCATCTCCGTCCAGTTGGAGCTGTTGCCCAGAGCACCTTGCAGCAAGCGCTTGCCCGGAGTGTTGTTGAAGCTCAACATCTCCGTCCAGTTGGAGCTGTTGAGCAGGGCACCTTGCAGCAAGCGCTTGCCCGGAGTGTTGTTGAAGCTCACCATCTCCGTCCAGTTGGAGCTGTTGCCCAGGGCACCTTGCAGCAAGCGCTTGCCCGGGGTGTTGTTGAAGCTCAACATCTCCGTCCAGTTGGAGCTGTTGACCAGGGCACCTTGCAGCAAGCGCTTGCCCGGAGTGTTGTTGAAGCTCACCATCTCCGTCCAGTTGGAGCTGTTGCCCAGGGCACCTTGCAGCAAGCGCTTGCCCGGAGTGTTGTTGAAGCCCGCCATCTCCGTCCAGTTGGAGCTGCTGCCCAGGGCACCTTGCAGCAAGCGCTTGCCCGGAGTGTTGTTGAAGCTCACCATCTCCGTCCAGTTGGAGCTGTTGCTTAGGGCACCTTGCAGCAAGCGCTTGCCCGGAGTGTTGTTGAAGCTCACGATCTCCGTCCAGTTGGAGTTGTTGCCCAGAGCACCTTGCAGCAAGCGCTTGCCAGGAGTGTTGTTGAAGCTCACCATCTCCGTCCAGTTGGAGGTGTTGCCTAGGGTACCCTGCAGCAAGCGCTTGCCCGGAGTGTTGTTGAAGCTCACCATCTCCGTCCAGTTGGAGCTGTTGCCCAAGGCACCCTGCAGCAAGCGCTTGCCCGGGGTGTTGTTAAGGCTCACCATCTCCGTCCAGTTGGAGCTGTTGCCCAGGGTACCTTGCAGCAAGCGCTTGCCCGGAGTGTTGTTGACCCCCGGAGTGTTGTTGAAGCTCACCATCTCCGTCCAGTTGGAGCTGTTACCCAGGGCACCTTGCAGCAAGCGCTTGCCCGGAGTGTTGTTGAAGCTCACGATCTCCGTCCAGTTGGAGCTGTTGCCCAGGGCACCTTGCAGCAAGCGCTTGCCCGGAGTGCTGTTGAAGCTCACCATCTCCGTCCAGTTGGAGCTGTTGCCCAGGGCACCCTGCAGCAAGCGCTTGCCCGGAGTGTTGTTGAAGCTCACCATCTCCGTCCAGTTGGAGTTGTTGCCCAAGGCACCTTGTAGCAAGCGCTTGCCAGGAGTGTTGTTGAAGCTCACCATCTCCGTCCAGTTGGAGGTGTTGCCTAGGGTACCCTGCAGCAAGCGCTTGCCCGGAGTGTTGTTGAAGCTCACCATCTCCGTCCAGTTGGAGCTGTTGCCCAAGGCACCCTGCAGCAAGCGCTTGCCGGGGGTGTTGTTAAGGCTCACCATCTCCGTCCAGTTGGAGCTGTTGCCCAGGGTACCCTGCAGCAAGCGCTTGCCCGGAGTGTTGTTGAAGCTCACCATTTCCGTCCAGTTGGAGCTGTTGCCCAGGGCACCTTGCAGCAAGCGCTTGCCCGGAGTGTTGTTGAAGCTCACCATCTCCGTCCAGTTGGAGCTGTTGCCCAGGGCACCTTGCAGCAAGCGATTGCCCGGAGTGTGGTTGAAGCTCACCATCTCCGTCCAGTTGGAGCTGTTGCTCAGGGCACCTTGCAGCAAGCGCTTGCCTGGAGTGTTGTTGAAGCTCACCATCTCCGTCCAGTTGGAGCTGTTGCCCAGGGCACCTTGCAGCAAGCGCTTGCCCGGAGTGTTGTTGAAGCTCAACATCTCCGTCCAGTTGGAGCTGTTGCCCAGAGCACCTTGCAGCAAGCGCTTGCCCGGGGTGTTGTTGAAGCTCAATCTCCGTCCATCTGTTGACCAGGGCACCTTGCACAAGTTGGGAGTTTTGTTGAAGCTCACCATCTCCGTCCAGTTGAGCTGTTGCCCAGGGCACCTTGCAGCAAGCGCTTGCCCGGAGTGTTGTTGAAGCTCACCATCTCCGTCCAGTTGGAGCTGTTGCCCAGGCACCTTGCAGCAAGCGCTTGCCCGGAGTGTTGTTGAAGCTCACCATCTCCGTCCAGTTGGAGCTGTTGCCCAGGGCACCTTGCAGCAAGCGCTTGCCCGGAGTGTTGTTAAGCTCACCATTCCGTCCAGTTGGAGCAGTGTTGTTGAAGCTCACCATCTCCGTCCAATTGGAGCCGTTGCCAAGGGTACCTTGCAGCAATCGCTTGCCCGGAGTGTTGTTGAAGCTCACCATCTCCGTCCAGTTGGAGCTGTTGCCCACCTTGCAGCGCTTACCGGGAGTTGAAGCTCACCATCTCCGTCCAGTTGGAGCTGTTGCCCAGGGCACCTTGCAGCAAGCGCTTGCCCGGAGTGTTGTTGAAGCTCACCATCTCCGTCCAGTTGGAGCCGTTGCCAAGGGAACCCTGCAGCACTCGCGAACTCGTGGCATTGCTCAGAGTGGCCTGGGCTCCGGCCACCGCAATCAGAGCTGCTAGAACTGGCAGCATGGCGGCGAACTTGACGTAGCTTCTTCTAAGGACTGTAAGCTGCAAAGCAAAAACTGCGTCGGAAGTTCAGCAGAGGCATCCTGAAAAAGCGAGATATTTGGCATGCCGCATGTCACCCCGAATGACCAAGGAACTGAAGTAGCCAAGTTCTGAAGAAAATGACAGAGAAACACAAAATGCCCCTTCTCTCCCTTCTTACTTCGGAACGTAGCTTAAGTCGAAAGAACATCACCCAGGCCCGCTCCAAGGCATGCGGCTGCCCAAGGCCTTGTGCCCCGGAATGCTCCTTGCAGTGCCCCGAGAGGCCTGACCTGTTTGCTGGCTTTGCTGCGGCTGTTTGAAGGGCGACGGCAGGCGGAACCACTAGCAAACAAAAACACCGAAGTTCCGTAGCCTTTCGTGAGCTCCGTAATTACGTAACTGCGAATACAGATTCGATGAAGGGCCCCTCCGCATCCTTGTTGCCCGAAGTTTGCCTAAAGCTCTCGCTATCCACATCACTTCTCCCTCCCCATCTGGGATCACTCACGCCCTCATCTTTGCGGAAGGCCGGCTGTACTGCAAGCCCTGTAAGCCAACACAGCCAAAGCCACGCAAGAGTGCATCAGAAAATCCTGCTCGTAGTCTCATGTACAATAGAACACGCGGCAAGCCGCCCACCAACCTAACAAGAAATCTCAGCACCGAAGCCCTGCCACCACAAATTCCGGAAATCCCCAACCCCCAACGGTTCTAACACTGAGGGGCTCTCACCATAACGAGACTGAATTGCGATGGGCAGCCTATGGCACCCTAAACCCAACGTGGGCCCATGGCCCATGCAGTCTGACATAGCACAATGGCACTGAATCCCCACACCCTTCAACCCCCTTGAGCAGCTCAACCCGAACCAGCCTGAGCCCAACTTTGGGACCGCCATAGAGGAAGTCAGGCAGTTCAGCACAAGGCGAACCATGTGGCCTTGCACAAAACGACATCTAAGCTTGACAAAGATTGACAAAGGCTTTTCCATTTCGAGAAACTTGGGCTGCAGGAATTGGCTTTTTGGGACAAGCCGTGCGCGCCACGTAGAGATCTGCGTGTTTATCCCTTCTTGGACGCTGTACGACCTGTTGGTTGTTCGTTCCTTGTGTTGATGCATGGAAGGGAACACTGCTCACGAACCTCCAGCCCATGCGCAGGTGAAAACCACAAAGCAAGAGGTGATCCATCAGAACCTCCCATTCTAGGGAACCCCCTTCAACTCATTTCCCAAGGCCAGCTGGGAGTGCTCCTCTCACTCCAAAGCCGAAGCCTTGAACAGCTCACCATACAGCCCAATGTGCGACATCCTAACCTCAACGCCCCTCGTAAGCCCAAGTTAACAGGAAAACCGAGACTCCAAAGGCATCGAAGACTTTTGGGCGTTCGGGGCTGCGGCTACAAGCTTGACATATCCCCTCCTCCCAAGCAGATTCAAGAATCCTAAAGTCACATGAGCTGAGAGGCAGTGTCCGGGCGAAGGATGGGCGAAGGATGTGCTCAGCTGCAGGACCTTCCGGGATCGCCATCCAACAGCCAAACTAAAAATCGGGCCATATCCATATTATAATATATCATGAGCATCTATGAGTCATTGGAGCTGTGCTATCGGCGTCGTGACACATCTTGCTTGGCTCTTTTGCTCCAGCCGCGGCAATATCGCTGGAAAGGCATCGAAGCGCTGTACATGCCATGCAGAATGACCGCCTGCGCAGAAACACTTGCGTCTGAGTCTGAATCTCGCTTTGGCATGGTGCAAGAATGTCAAGCTGCCCAAGGTCTAGCACTGCGTCCGTCGTCCTCTTTGCCTAGCGGGCCCAAGACCCACGACGCCAGCAGGCGAAATTCTCAAAAATGTCATCCAGTGCAGAAACAGGAGACTCAGCGTCTAGGCGGCGGAAAGCGTAAGTGTATGTACGCTGCCAAATGCTGCCAAAACGTGTGAATTAGGCGAAAAATCTCTGTGTTCGTCTTCGCTCGCTGTGGCAACGATAAAGTATGGACGCTGCACAGACCGAGAGATGACGCGAGATACGCACAATGCTCACATCAGCCCGAGGCTACGAAGAACGCGAAAAGGCAAAGACTCAGTGCTCCCTTCCCGGCGCTGAAGGAATCGACCTTCAGAATGCTGCGCCACGCGGGAGCTGTTGCCCAGAGTGTTGTTGAAGCTCACCATCTCCGTCCAGTTGGAGCTGTTGCCCAGGGCACCTTGCAGCAAGCGCTTGCCCGGAGTGTTGTTGAAGCTCAACATCTCCGTCCAGTTGGAGCTGTTGCCCAGGGCACCTTGCAGCAAGCGCTTGCCCGGGGTGTTGTTGAAGCTCACCATCTCCGTCCAGTTGGAGCTGTTGCCCAGGGTACCTTGCAGCAAGCGCTTGCCCGGAGTGTTGTTGAAGCTCACCATCTCCGTCCAGTTGGAACTGTTGCCCAGGGCACCTTGCAGCAAGCGCTTGCCCGGAGTGTTGTTGAAGCTCACCATCTCCGTCCAGTTGGAGCTGTTGCCCAGGGCACCTTGCAGCAAGCGCTTGCCTGGAGTGTTGTTGAAGCTCACCATCTCCGTCCAGTTGGAGCTGTTGCCCAGGGAACCCTGCAGCAAGCGCTTGCCCGCAGTGTTGTTGAAGCTCACCATCTCCGTCCAGTTGGAGCTGTTGCCCAGGGCACCCTGCAGCAAGCGATTGCCAGGAGTGTTGTTGAAGCTCACCATCTCCGTCCAGTTGGAGCTGTTGCTCAGGGCACCTTGCAGCAAGCGCTTGCCCGGAGTGTTGTTGAAGCTCACCATCTCCGTCCAGTTGGAACTGTTGCCCAGTGTACCTTGCAGCAAGCGCTTGCCCGGAGTGTTGTTGAAGCTCACCATCTCCGTCAAGTTGTAACTGTTACCCAGGCCACCTTGCAGCAAGCGCTTGCCCGGAGTGTTGTTGAAGCTCACCATCTCCGTCCGTTGGGCTGTTGCCCAGGGCACCTTGCAGCAAGCTTGCCCGGGGGTGTTGTTGAAGC